TCGTCATGAGCTGCGTATACAAATAGAATTAAAATGAATATCGATTCCAGCAATTTAATTTTAAAAAATAAATTTTAAATATTGGGCTTTTTAATAGTCAATCCTACTTAAAGTATGTCTATTGCGACGAGATTGACTTCAACAAACACTCAACGCTTGCTATAACAGAGACTTTATTCCCAAAGCTCGTCTTAATCATCTCACAGAGAATGTGTAACAAGGTACAAGCTATACGATAGTGTACGTACATCTAGTACTTACGTCTGCCGTAGCTATTTCGCTCAAAAAAGGTATGGTTAAGGAAGGTGACCTTCGTTCTAACATTAGAACCAGTTCGAGTGTAGCGGATCGCAAACCACTTACTCCAAGTGTAACTATGTCCTTAACCAAGGCTAAACAGCTCTTCCGTTTATAAGTATACTGTATTTCTCGGTTTCATTTGCGGCAATGCCGAATCTATAGGTTTTACTTCTTAAATAGAGAGACCAAATTGAATGTATACCTACTAGCTGTTCCATCCATGCACTGACTTCTTGCTTCAGTGTATCCACACCATTGTGTAGTCAAACCATCTTGTGTGACTCACACCCTTCATACCAGGGTGCGTGAAACTACGTTACAATTCTTCGATCATGGATGCGATGGGTAATGCATTGAATGCGCTGAGCAGCAACTGAGCCACAATGACGGCTAGATAAAAAACGAAGGATATGCAATCGGGATAGAGGCAATGGACTCTATGATGCTAAGAAGAGAGATTAACGTCTCGATGTGAGCTGTCTACCAGCGCCGCGCTAGTTGCAAATATTATAATTGTGGCACATTAATATCTGCATCCTGCGTGTGTCCTTCTTCCGACCGAGAAGAGTGAAAGACAAGCTCTTAAGTTGTGTCCGTAGATAATGTAACAAAAAATACTATAGTTTTGTGAGCTTGACCCTCTCACATTTTCATAATTGTTGAAAATATACTGTACGACTATTCTCAAACTACATTGATATATATGTGAATATTGATACATACCAGAAAACTGGTACTCAAGAAGATGTAGTCGACGAAAAATTTTAAAATGAGGAGTTCGAGTTCCACATGGGCTGCTAGCCGCGCGTCAGAAAATAAAATAATTTGTTTTGGGAGATAATAAAACGTGTTTATTTACTGCTAATCTAAAATGAAGCATGTTGCAGCATTTGTACTCTAAAAATAGCGGAGCAAACTTACAGTGCTAATTATCGTAAAGGCTCTCAGTTCCACTTCTCGTAAAGGCGCTCGAAACTATTATCTCTACATTTGTCAGCCCGGTCGTTGAGTTCGAAGCGACCTCTGCGCAAAACGCACGGTTTCCCATTGCACATCAAGACATGCTTAGGGTATGACTTCTGACGTGGATAAGCTCATAAGAAAAGGCACTATATGATGCTGAGAGTGGATAGAAAGCTTTAGCACATCGGGCGGTCGTTTAGAATTACTTTCTAACAATGTCTTGCAAGAAAGAGTTATGATCCCTACTGTGGCCCATGTATTGTTGGCCCACGGTGGAGCAGGGTATGTACCGAAGTAGTGTACAACAATTTTATGCAATTGTACTGAAGATACATTTGGGCATCTGAGCAAATACACTATTGTGCGATTCCTTAATTCAAACTTACATTTTCGTGCAAATATAAGCCAATCACCGATATTAAAGTATTGGTAATAAAGAGGTTGATGAAACTCGATAAAAGTGAGGTCCGTGTATGACGTTTTGGGGGTTTTGCAGAGCACATTGGGTATAAGATATTCGCCTCAGTGCTTGCAGACCCATCAGAGTGGGTTTGTAGTTAAACAGATAAACCTCTTGAAATTTAGTAACTAAATATCAAATTAGTCTTTTTATTCCAAACGAAGATGTATTCAGATTAATTTTACCTCAGTATACATCATAAGCATACATTTACTGTATCCAGTACTTTAAACATCTATATCATTGACAAGTAAATAATAGTCGATGCGTGCCACGAGTTGCTTACCTTATAGAGACCATCATATTCATAATCACGCAGCTTTGCTGTTTGAGCATATTCACAATTTCACTAAAGTGATACCTGATGTCGCTCAATTTTAAAGTATCAAATTTGCACAACTTTACAGACGATTAAAGTTAGTACGAGCACATAAATATAGAACGTTCCTGGTAACACCTTCGTTCACTAAAAGCGGATCCCACTACGGCTCCTGATTCAATTCTTTTATAACGACATTGCGCAAACGTGAGCACTAACGAGAACTACTGCACTTCCAGTCACTCCAAGCCTTTCAGTTTACAATGCCAGCTCTTAAGTACAATTAGCATCATTTAAATAAGCGAGTCTCCAAGCATTGTCTCACCTTTGCAACCAACAACCTTATTGCAATACTTGGTGTGGAGGCCGATGCGATATTTCCGGAAACGATTTCAGCGACCTAAATTTGACATATTCGACCTAACCAAAAAGTGACCAAGCCACGCGCTGTAAGATGGCATCCGCCTGTTCTTTGCACGAGTTGCACAATCTGTGTAATTTCCTACAGCAAAAAGTGTTGCGACCACCCGCCGCAAAAATCATGAAGTCGTCCAACACGTCAACAATGAGCTGAAACAAGCTTAGAAAGCAAAGTTTGCCTATCTGCAAGCGCTGGAGCGGCAATGACCCCTATCAAGCTTATCATAATGGGATTACGAGTACACACCATCCGGTGTTGCTCGCCACAATCCTTATACTTCCATGTGTATGTATCTTTCGATCACTCGAGAAACAAAACGAACACCCGAAAGCTGCTTGCATGACCTACTCATTACGCCCGAATAGTGCTTCGTGATCGCTTTCATACCGTTATTATCACGCCTGCGTTTCGATCACAGCATTGAACATATTCGCTCCAACTTTAAGACTTGTGAATGCTGGCAAAGGAGAAGAAGCTTATTGCAATCAATTTGTGCGCAACGTGAGAAAGACGTATCGCCTCATCCGTAATTCAACTTTCTAAACCAGCAGTTAAGAATACGTCGTTGATGATGCTTATATTGCTTTGACGAAGCACGACGTGAACATCGAGATCGAAATTCATCGTATCCCGGTTTTGCTCCATTTGCTACTATAACGCAGCTGATCCAGCTGCAGAAGAAGCCTATAATCTGAAACTGGGATGGCTCCCACCTGTTGATGTGAGCGCGCTGTGACAAGCGACCCCGCCCCTCTTCTGGTAGAGAAAGGACGATATAGTACAGTTCACGCAGCAATAGTGTCGGGGCAATCTTGTAGGAGAAGTACCTCAACCACCATTGAATTTCATAGAGAATAAATTTTTCATAGTGAACAGGGTTTCTTTATATCAGTCGGACACCGAGACTCTCGGAGAGCTTCAACGTACCACCGCAACAGAAGGTGCCCACGAGGGCAAGACGAGGGAGCGGTGCACTGCTGGATGATCTGGCCCACCTTCACTCAAACTTTTGGTATGCCTGCCGGCACACCAGGGTTGTTGCCATTTCAATGGGAAGTAAAAGTGATACCTGCATTCGAATAATACACGGAATTTTGAGGCCCTAACTCGCCAAGATTATCCGATAGCCGTAGCCACTCATAATTTGGCGCACCCTCGAGATTCAAACCTACAAAGAAGGGCAAAGTCATCCATCAGAACGCACTGCTCTCAATTGATTGGTAACCACCTTCGTGTTGGGCATGACACTCGGTCGATAGATGTTACAGCTGTCTCATAGAGACAAGCAGAGCTGCGAGTGACAGGAAATAAAGGTGACGGATTTTCACCATGAGGTTTGCATCGTGATAAAAACTTCACAAAGTAAAGCATGACTCGATTCTCTTACCTAATGTTCATTTTGCTGAAGCTCTTGGTAAAAATTCAAGACAGGTGAGTCCGGACGTTTGCTCCCTAGTGCTCGAGCTGAGGATGGATCTCACGGCGGCACTTTTGCCCTCTCACATACCCAAGATAGGTCGCTTACTGATAGTACAGATTTCTCCAATCACTGTGCTCCAGCCCCGGCGGTACCCATAAGGAAAATTAATGATTTTTGACCTGATCATAGCTTCCGAACCCTATTAGGTCGATAGAAGGCCAGCACGCATATGTATGTACGCTCTACACAATAACGTAGCGAGCACCTCAAAGCAATTTGATATCGTGATCATGGGGGCGTGATGATTTGAGCAAGAACCGGCAAATAACTTTTGCGGTCGTAGATGAGTAAGCTGAGCACCTTTGAGCCAGATTCAATTTGCTAGTGACTATTTAGACATCGGTTTAAAATCACGGCAAGAGTTGCAACAGTTTTCACCGTTAAACAAATACGACGTACGTGAGGGTTGTAGTTGATAGGCTGAGTACGTTAGGCGTCTTATTTGTAGTGGATGGCGACGCTGTATGTTCCGAGTGAAGGCAGAGGTGCACCATAGTTTCTCGTTGCAGAAACACCCCTACAGCGTTCCCGATTGAACCAGACGCATCTATTTGACGCGTCAGCAACAGTTAATGAATTCAGACGTTGGCCACGCTGTCAGTAGCTAAGATATCATGTCACATACATTTGTGCTGCTTCCGGACGTACCACAGCGTTCCTGACTGATCCAGACGCTTCCGTTTGACGCGGCAGCAACCGTTACCGCACTCATACGTTCGTCACGTTGTCAGCAGCTGAGATATCATGTCACTTTACGTGCTTCCAGACATGCTTAAGCCTTCCTGATTAAACCAGACGCTTCCCTTTGACGCGG